GGAGATTATCCTAGATTATTTGGGTGGGTCCAATGTAATTATAAGGATTATCATAAAACAAAGAGGGAAGCAGGAGAGTCAGAGTCAAAGAAGGCAATGTAATAGCAGAAGCAGAGGTTGGAGTAATGACAGGGCCATAAGCTAAGGAATGCAGGCACCCTCTAAAACCTGAAAAAGTCAAGGGAATGTATTCTACCCCAGAGTCTTTAGAAGGAATACAGCCTTACTGATCCATTTCAGACTTCTGACTTCCAGAAATGTAACATAATAAATTTGTATTATTTTAAGCCACTGAAGTTGTGATAATTTGTTAAAGCAAATTATAAGGAGAACTAATATAGTATGCAACCTTTCACCTAGTCCTTTCATTATTGATCCTCCACTTTAAACTGTGCCTGATGTTTTATCTTTTCAGGGAATAACCCCCCAGTCTTCTGCTAGGTTAGGAGAGGGACAGTTGCTTTGCTGCTGAATAGACAAAATATCTTCCTTATTTTCAGCCAAATATCGTTTCTGCTTCCAGAGGTACTTAGTGCTACCAATTCCTGGACTTCTAGTGTTTCTGTAGCTGGGGAGTGGTCAGCCAGCTTGCTTTCTAGCATCTCCGCTGCTGACTTAAGCTTGCAGTTCAGCTTTCCTGGGCTGTAAAGTCCGTTACCACTTACCCTTCCACCTCCAGCTTCCAACATTTTGTTGCTATTATTTCTCTTCATTTTTCCTTGTATTTGTGGTGGCTTCCTCTTCCTCCCCTGCACACACACACACAAAATCCTATTATTTTGTGATTTCTGATTTAAGGAGAAAGTCGAAGTTCACATGTATGGTCAATCAACTTTGACAAAGTTGAAAGTCCTGTTATTTTATACTGATTTTTCATTGACATAGTGCTATGTTATGCCACATATCATACATATGGGACTAATTTGTGCCAGTAGAGCCATGTAGGACAATATGTTAGTGTGACATATTGAAGTTAAATAAATGGTTTTGGTAGCAGGAGGCCTAGATTTAATTAAAGGTGTTGCCACTTACTAATGATATGCATTTGAGTGATGCACTAAACCAAGCCTTAGATTCCTCATCTGTAAGTGGCAGAAAGCATATTTAATCCACAGATTATTAAAATAATTAATGTACACCAGATGATGGATAAAAGCACTTGACCAACAATGTACCTCCCTTACAGAAAATTACAAGTGAACTTAGATTGAATTAAATAGATAGTACTTTGGGTTCTTTCTTGTAACAGAATTGAAGATAGTACTTTGAGTTCTTTCTTGTACTCAATGCAATATTTGTAAGGTGAATAAATGTCTTCTGTTAATGAAGTATTTTGGAAAAAACCAATAATGAATATTGAGATTCATTAAATGCTACATGAATCTTAAAACAAGCAAAATATCAAAATTAATTTTTAAGTTTTAAAGTATTTCTTATCCCCTCATTTTCTTTCTTTTTTGCAGAAGACTTTATTTTAAACTTTTAATTATTCAATTTCTCTTAAAAAAAAGTCATGGATGCATTTTTTTTTGAGACGGAGTCACATTCTATAGCCAGGTTTGAGTGCAGTGGTGCAATCTTGGCTCACTGCAACTTCTGAGATTCTCCTGTCTCAGCCTTCCGAGTAGCTGGGATTACAGGCATGAGCCAACATGCCCAGCTAATTTTTGTATTTTTAGCAGAGATGGGGTTTCACCATATTGGCCAGGATGGTCTTGATCTCCTGACCTCATGATCCTGCCGCCTCGGCCTCTCAAAGTGCTAGGATTACAGGCATGAGCCACTGCACCCTGTCAGATGGTTGGTTTTAAACAAAGAAAGAAAGAGCAGCCTCATCAGCCCTTTTCTAAAACTTAGACTAGTCTCTTAATTAGATTCCTTATTTCCCCTTTTCCCCTCCCTTCTCCCCTTTCCCTTAATACCCTTTCATCACCACAGGAGGGGTAATCTTTAAAAGAAAAAATTCATATCAGAGCAAAGCACTTCCCTGCTTAAAATCCCTCTTCAACATTCCATTTTTCTTGAAATAAAAACAGAACTCCCTGGCAGAACCTACCCAGCCTTGCAAAGCTCCAGCCTCATCTCCAGCCCAGTTTTGTATCCCTTGTCCACTTTTCTCTTAGGATATCAGTTACACTGGTTCCTTTCATTATTGAAATTTGCCAAGCTCCACCCTTTCTCAGAGACTTTCCTCTTGCTTTTCCCTCTGCTTGAAATGCCCTTCCTCCACGTTTGCCTGGCTAACTTCTACTCATCCTACAAGTCTGCCTAAATATCATCTCTCCTGGAAACCTTACCCTGACCCCCTAAAACTAAGATTCTCCTGTTGGTTACTTGCCGAGAGCCTGGTACTTCCTTTTTATAATGCTTACCCCAGTTGAACTTCAATATTGTGTAATTAATTACTTAGTTCTTTTTCTCTTCCTTTACCTCTATAAAAGACAGGGACTACATCTGTTTTCTTTACTGTTTTATACACGTTAAAGGAAAAAATTTAGACAAATTAAATTTATTAGAATTTAATTGAGCAAAGCACAATTTGCGAATTGGGCAGCCCCAAACCATAATAGGTTGAGAGAGACTTCGATGCTACCATGTGGTCAGAGGTTTTAGGGACAGAAAAAGGAAAGTGACCTGCAGAAAATGGAAGGGAGGTAAAAAAACAGCTGGATTGGTTACAGCTGGTTTTGCTTTATTTGAAGAGTTGGCTTCCTGTGATTGGCTGAAACTCGGAGAATGGTAGAGGAGTAAGTTACAGTCTGTTTCAACACCCAGTTCACTATGAACAGAGAAACATTTAGGCAAATTTATAAGGAGGTAGCTTTAGACTAAATTTAACATCCACAGTACCATGCAAAATGTCTTATACATAGTAATTTCTCCATACAAATTCATTGAATAAATGGATTAATTAATGATTAGCAGAAAGCAAAAAAGGCTACATTTTAACAATATAATTTTAAGGACCCCGTTTTTATTTTCAGATTTCCTATTGGGTGAGGTAAAAAAATCTGCTATAGACCCAATGGCTTGATAAATGCTTACTTTTGACTCAATATTTGGAGCTAAGAGAATTGCTTGAGAGAACCTAGGTAGAAGAAGTATGAAGGTTATCTCTTTGCTAACCAAGTTCTGGGCAGTGTCAAGGAGAGAAGGTGGCTGCTCTGCCACTAATGCACCTTCAGTTAGACCATGTGTTCCAAGCTCCCAGCACAGTGCTTGCATTAAAAAGATGCTCAATAAATATGTGTTGAATTAACAGATAAAGGTGTCCTTTTTACTTTGCCATATGCCTTCCAAGCTGCAAGTACCCTTTGTGACTTCCTCTTTAATGCTGACATTAATGATCACTTTTGCATATTTTCAGCTGTATGTTTTGATAGAGGGAAAGTCCACATATTATTTGTGAAGGCTTAGGTCAAGCCACGCTATTTAAGGATAGCTGTCCTAAGCCCAGTTTACAAGAGCCCCATTTATTATTCTAATTCATAAATATTCCAGTGCACATTCACAAAAACCATTTCTTTCAAAGTCTCTGAAAATGTCACTGCTTACATCTAATGTAATTTTTCGAAAAGGAGCTTGTTCTAAGAAACAATAAAGAATTGAACTATAGTTTCATATGAATGGTAATGCCAATGTACTAATGAGGATTTTCTGCTGGGGATCACTTAGCTCCAAGGGAAGACAGCATGGTAAGTGTTTGCATAAAAAAACTAAACAGTTTATTTCACTGGACTGGAAGGAGGTACCCAAGTTCACATGGCTCTAGGAGATTCACAAAGGCTGTCTGCAGACTTTATGACACTCTCTTATGCGATAAGATTGTGGGGAAATGGGGAATCCTTTTCTGGCATTTAAAAGATGTTATCTGGTAGTTTCTTGAAATTTGTCAGCTAGAGCTTTATTTATTCCGCTCAGGGATGGCAAATTACCTCAGTGCATGCCAAGACAATATATTGATAATGGCTGCTATAATGAGAAAGGTTCTGAGGTCTTACTTAGTCTCCTCAAGAATGTGTTGTCACCACTTAGCAATGATAGTTATGAGTTTTAGAATGGGGATTGGTGGAGTGCCAGATATTTAATATCCTTAAGACTTTTTTGTTTGGTTTTGTTAAAATTTAAGTAATTATATCTAAAAGTCTCATTTAGTCTTCACATAAACTCTATGAGGCAAGTACTGCTATAATTTTGATTTTTTTTTCAGATGAGGAAACTAAAGATACATTGTTCCCGAAAAGTATTTAGTCAATTAGTGGTGGACTTATATTTGAATACATGCTTATCTAAACTAACTCTAGAGCCCAAGCTCTCAACTGCCATATAACATTTCTTAAGAATTCTGGAGCTTTGACATTTAAAGCTGTTATCACTTATGCATACCCTAGAATGAATGAGTTTCTTTCTACTGCCTTATCTAAGATAAGAAAAAACAAAATATTAATAAGGCTGGCAAAGTTGAAGACAAACTTTACTTTATAACACTGTGTAAGACTAATTTTTTATCTAAATATTAAAAATGAAATTTGGTGTATGACTACTCTAGTGAAGGAAATACAAATTATTTCTGGATATTTTAAGGTTATAATGCAGTGGATACCTATCACTTATACCTCCACATCTAATTTAAGTGCAAGTATTACTCCCAGATTAGGTTTTTCACTCACTGAAACTTTTTATTCTTAAAGTAATGGTGTTAATCACTATGTCCTGATGAGATTCTAAAGGTTCTTATATTGTTTTCCTTAAACACTTAAAGCATGTTCATTTAATGAGACTATTTATGGAAACATACTGCTATCATTTCCCCCAAGTATTTATTTCTGTAATTAACAGTTAAATTATATATAAATGTCCAATTTATAGTATCCATGTAAAATAGCTTGACTTTTACCCAAATGCAGAGAAAACAAACAAAAAGTCTTCAAATATTTTTAGGTGGTATAAGAAATGTCAGAGTATCCTTTGATTTCTTGCCTGTTTTCTTTTTTTCACAGAAAAATCTGTCATTGCTCAACCAATATTTGTTTTTAAAAAGAGAGAACATACTTTTAAGGTGAGATTGACTACTTCTTTGTTTAATGTTACTTTGACCAAGATAATTACATTTCAGGAAGCTAGTTATCCTGAAAGTTTATCCTGTTCTTAACTAGCACAGTAGTGCCTCCAGATTATTTATATAGTCAGGATTTACAAACATCAGTCTGGCTGGAATGGGAAGCCAGAGGACTTGACTTGCAGCTATGGATAACATACTGTTTTACTATAGTAATATCTTTATTTGGAGTAATTTGAAAAGGGGAGGAGCTGAAAGATATTAGGAGGGCTATAGCTATTCATGAGTCCTCGCCACTGACCTAGTCTAAAATTGAGTAAAAAATAAATTCTAAATTATGATATCTGATTTAAAAGGGGTCTTTTGAACTCTGTCTGCTTTTTTGGCATCATACGAAAATTATCCATTTTGAAAGACCAACAATAAGATTAGTTGCTGGGCGTGATGGCTTGTGCCTGTAATCCCGCACTTTTCAAGGTCAAGGTGGGAGGATTATTTGAAGCCTGGAGTTCGAGGCTAGCCTGATCAATAAAGCAATACTCCATCTCTACAAAAAAAAAAATGAAATTAGTCAGGCATGGTGGCACATGCTTGTAGTCAGTCCCAGCTACAGGAGCCTGAGACAAGAGGATTGCTCGAGTCCGGGAGTTAGAAGTTGCAGTGAGCTATGATTGCACTGCTGCACTGCAGGCTAGGTGACAGAACAAGACCTCAACTGTAAACAAATGAATAGAAACAAACAAAAAACCCCACTAGATTCTCAGTTTAGCTTATTTATTGGTATTCATTCTGACTCATGAAGGTAATTTAACCTCTACCCACAAAAACACTAAACAAAAAACCCACAAATTTACAAGAAAAAAACAACTCCATCAAAAGTGGGCAAAGAATATGAACAGACACTTCTTAAAAGAAGATATTTATGCAGCCAGCAAATATATGAAAAAAAGCTCATCATCACTGGTTATTAGAGAAATGCAAATCAAATCCACATTGAGATACCATCTCATGCCAGTTAGAATGGTGATCATTAAAAAATCAGGAGACAACCGATGCTGGAGAGGATGTGAAGAATAGGAACGCTTTTACACTGTTGGTGGGAATGTAAATTAGTCAAAACATTGTAGAGGTCAGTTTGACAATTCCTTGAGGACCTAGAACTAGAAATACCATTTGACCCAGCAATTCCTTTACTGGGTATATACACAAAGGATTATAAATCATTCTATGATAAAGACACATGCACATGTATGTTCACTGTAACACTGTTCACAATAGCAAAGACTTGGAACCAACCCAAATGCCCATCAACGATAGACCGGATAAATAAAATGTGGCACATATATACTATGGAATACTATGCAGCCATAAAAAAGGATGAGTTCATGTCCTTTGCAGGGACATGGATGAAGCTGGAAACCATCATTTTCAGCAAACTGACACAAGAACAGAAGAAACAGAACACTGCATGTTCTCACTTTAAGTGGGTGTTGAACAATGAGAACACATGGACACAGGGAGGGGTATGTTACACACTGGGACCTGTCAGGGGGGTGGGGCGCTAGGGGAGCATTAGCAGGGTGTGGGAGGATTGGGGAGGGACAGCATTAAGAGAAATAACTAATGTAGATGATGGGGTGATGGATGCAGCAAACTACCATGGCACATGTATACCTATGTAACAAACCTGCATGTTCTGCACATGTACCCTAGAACTTATAGTATACTAATAATAATAACAATAATAAAACCTCCTAGTCTGCTGTTAAAAAAGCAGATTCCTGGGCCCCATCCTAGAACAACCATTTCAGAATTTGAGAATAGGTGCTTCAAAATCTACATTTTAAATAAACTTCCACAAGTGAGTCTGCAGTCATTGAACTATAAAACCACTGTACTAGACTTTTGGTTTTTCTTGACTATGTGCCTAACAAATGAAGGTGAACTTCTTTGTCCTGGCTGGGCCAATTAGCCCTGGTGTCTGAGAACTCTATATAAAGTGGCAGGGTGGAAATCTGATATACCAAGTTGACACAAAAGTAATTGTAATTTTTGCCATTACTTTTAATTGCCAAAACAATTGCCAAAACTGCAATTACTTTTGCAATAACATAATACAAAAGCATTACTCAGCTCTCCTCAGTAGTTTTGTTTCCTTTCAGAGACCTGCAGAAGACACCCGGTATGAAGCAACAGAACCAGGTAATGATTTTCATCCTGTATTCCAAAATCAATCTTTATACAAAGAAAATTAGCAGACACAAATATTTTGGCATGTGGTGCAGACTATGTGAAAGTTAATGTTTTTTCTTGTTTTTAAATATGCCGGTAGGTTCACTTTTGTTTGCAAAGATGATATATAGGTCTCTGAGAACACTGACGTTAGTTGCTAAAATTTATTGTGCTCCACTCCCTTAGCCTATCAGAAACATTCTCTGTAGACCTCAGAATGCATATACAGTTGTTTTTTTTTTTTTTTTTTTTTTTGCCAATGCCACTCATTTCTAATTGTTTCACACTAGGATGATATGCCTATAGGTTTATAATCAATCAGCAACCTATTAACACCAATATTTAAAATAGTGTTTTAAGAGTTAATGTGTTATCAAATGATGATCTGTGTAGACAAAAGAAAATTCTGTTTATCTTACCCTCTCATGAGTTGAGGATAATTTGTTACTGCAAGTTATTTTCGCCTTTCCATTGCTTTTCTTGCAGAATGTAATGGTTTTTCAAGAAAGCGTGTGCGGTCTTCATCTTTTACTTTTCATATTACAGATTCTCAGTCCCAGGGAGGTATGTATAGCCTTGGATGTTGACTATTCACTGTTATGTTTATTTTGAATGCAAAATTACTGAGAAACTTTTCAAAAAGGCAATGTCAAAATTCTATCAACTGAATAGTGTTTATAATATATTGGTATGTGAAAACAAGAAGCTATACAATGATACAGTGAGTCAGTATTTAAACGTTCCATTTATCAGCATTGGGAAAAATGCCAAAAGGACATAAGCCACGATGTTGGCAGTGGTTATCTTAAGTAGAGGAATTGCAAGTGATTTGGTCTCCCCACAACCATGCCTTTGTATTTTGCTGTGTTTCCAAAGTTTCTGCATTGACCATGTATTAGCTTTGTAACTAGGGGAAAGTGTCATTTTTAAGGTAACCACCTATTTAAATAAATGGATGTTTACCCTTTGAAAAGAATTTTATCATACACTGTATTCTGAGTAAATCAATAACTTAGTTTGCTTCTCTTCTATGCGGAAAGCAGTCCAGTGATTTCTTTTATAATGAGCTCTATGGCTTCTGCTTTGTAATACAGCATCTGTGTATATATTCCTCCTCCACTGTGAGTTCCTTAAGGTCATCTTCATGCCTGATAGTGTCTTACATATGGTGAGCACAAAATAAATATTTACTGTTGAATGGAATTGAATAGAAATTAATTTATCATCCTCATCAGATGTATTCCTTGTTTGTATCAATAAAAATAAAAAGATTTTTCTAAATTAGTTACAGAAATTTTCCCCAAACAGCAAAACTCCAAATCAAAACAAAACAAAAAACTCACTTTCTTATTGACTTTAGCTTGCAATCTGCTTTTAGTGTCAACCTTGTCTCAGAAGCAGGTGAGATCGTCATCCTTCATTGACCTCCCAACCTTCCCCAATTCTGGGCTAGGTAATAGATTCTAGAACCTCAAGCCTGACACTCTGACTTTTCAAAATCATTCTTATTAATGATAACTTTTCTTTCTTAGCTATCATAAAATGCTGACACTTTAGAAACAAATCAAATAGAGGCCTTAGCAAAGTATGCATGGAAGAATACCTTATGAATTCTAACTTCACAAATTCAGAGTACATGTTTTTACCTTTGATAGAAAGTTTGAACTTAATGTTTTTTAGGATTTTACATTTATAACAGCATTATTTTTTTTAAGGCAGACCTATAAAAGTAAAAACACTTTGCACTATTTTACTTATTATTGTCCGTCTATGTAGTTTATAATGTATAATATTTAAAACATGCAATTATGCATTAGATTCATATTTTAAGTTTAGCATATAAATCCATTAAAATTTCCACTAATTAAAACATTACTCCTCTTTACTTGAAATTTATGTTTTGCTAAGTAAAACTATTTTACCATAATAAAACATTTGAAATGTTTGGCATTTTCCCCACATTAAAATGATCTCTATTCTAGTGTTTTTATTTCTACTAAACAATCAACTGCCTTTTCCAAGTTAGGTTTGCCACTAAGAAAGAAAAAGAAAATACCACTTACTTCCTTTGAATTGATCCCCATCTACCCAGGAACTACAGAATTTTTCAACAAATAAATCTATATTTTTATTAAAAATTCTAGGCATGACTGACTAACAGTATATCCAGTACCTTTCAGATGCAGAAGAGACATTTTTTAGTGTCTCTAACCCTTCTAACCTGACTGACAAGTTCAGGCATTAAGAGAAATAGAGATCCTGGCCGGGTGTGGTGGCTCATGCCTGTAATAACAGCACTTTGAGAGGCCAAGACAGGCAGATCGCTGCAGGCTAGGTGATCCAAACCAGCCTGGACATCATGGCAAAACCCAGACTCCATTAAAAATACAAAAATTAGTTGGGCATGGTGTTGCACACCTGTAGTCCCAGCTACTCAGGAGACTGAGGCAAAAAAGAGAGAGTGAGAGAGAAAGAGAGATCCTAATCCCAGAGGCAAAGGTGTTCTGTTTTATTGTATTTGTACATAAAACAAAGGAATGGCTAAGATATCTACATACCTGCTTTAATTCATTTTTTACTGGACACTCACACAAAAAGAAAGAGCATCGTTGTCTTTTATGTTGTTCAGTAAGCACCATTCTGTTTTATGTTTTGCAGAATGTTACTGGTGTTTGGAAGTAGAAAAATGTGGCTCTTTTTTGTTGATGTTCAATAATAAAGATTCTTAAAAAACATTAAATTGAACTTTGAAGTAAGAAGGGATTCTACCCCAACATTTATGTTATGACACCTTAAATAATACTTAGAAGAAACAATTATTCTCTTCTCATTTTCATTAATTAAATGCTAAAGGTTGTGGTTTCTGCAATTTGCAGTCAACAGGAGATCCCTTTGAACTGTATAGAAATTCTACACTTGGAGCCACCACCACGGTCTTAACCCTACCAACACACTCATAGAAAAATAACCTATCAGATTGGTCATCTTTACTTTTTTCTTCAGGGATACTCATTAAAAAGTCAGGGAGCGTGGGCAGACTTTGCTAACAGTTTTATAATATTCAATAAGAGCTACATATTAATGCTGGAGGGTTCATTACCAAAGATTTTATAGTCTGCAGAATTTCTGAGAGTACACTATTTAATGATTCTCAAAAAGGCTGCCTTTTCCACTAGTTACCTAATTTTCATTTAGATTTCTGAAAGTAAACAGAACTATGTAGCAGAATGCATCTGGCAATCCCATTTTTAGCGGAGCTAGTGCTCCAGAGAGCCACTACCTATTCCTCCGTTAGTGCCAATTGCGACATCTACTGGTAAATTCAGAATGGGATGGTTAAGCCCCAAATAGTGTAGAATCTGACACTCTGCTGTGTTTAAAAATTTTTAAATATTTTTTCTTACAGTGAGGAAAAACAATGTTTTTATGACATCAACTCTTGTGCAAAGTAATGTTGATATAAAGAGTGCAGAAAAAGGTATGTAGCTTCTATTTCAAGAACCTCAGAAATTGTGTATTTTATCACCTATATTTTCATCTCCCTACATATATATGTGTGTTGGAGGCATGGAGGTAGGTCAGAGTGACAAAAAATGAAGAAATAATGTAGGTAAGCCCGGTTTCATGATCAAAATGAATAGTTATTGAGCAAAAGCTAGGCATGGTGTGAGTAGTAGGCAACTCGATGGTTATTTTGATTTTGATTAATCAACATTAGTCCCTCATTTAAACATGGCTTTAGAAAATAAGAATATATTAGTTAAAAATAGGGAGTAAAGAAATGTTTCACTAAAAATACACTTATCCTTTAATTCTATTCTTTTAAGGTCCTGTGAAACATTCTGAACGTGTTCTTAGACCTGCTATTTTGCAGCTACCTCAAGCTCGAAGTTGTGCAAAAGCAAGAAAAACATTTGGACACAAGGCATTGGAATCCTGCAAGACTAAAGAAAAAACAAAAAATAAGGTGAGAAAGCCCAGGATAACAGGACTGACCTCAATCCCACATCCTTCATTTTTATAGGTTGTTTCAGGCCCCCATATCCAGAAATAGGAGTTGCATGAGCTTTGTTTTGTTACTGGGCTAGATAGCAAAAAGTCCTTGGTAACCCTTTTTTTTTTTTTTGAGACAGAGTTTCACTCTTGTTGCCCAGGCTGGAGTGCAATGGCACCATCTCAGCTCACCACAACCTCCGCCTCCCCGGTTGTGTCCGCTACTAAGCCTGGCTACTTTTTGTATTTCTAGTAGAGATGGGGTTTCACCATGTTAGCCACGCTGCTCTCGAATGCCTGAACTCATGATCCGCCCGCCTCAGCCTCCTAAAGTACTGGGATTACAGGTGTGAGCCATCACTCCCGGCCCACATCACTTCTTAAATAAAAGTAAGGAATTATGTAACATGGTGATAATTATTACATTCTATTTAAATGAAAACAGTAATATCCTTATCTAAAATCGAAAACATGTTTTACTTAAAAATTACTTATTTAGCATTCATAAATGATGAAATGATTTTTAAAATTCATAATGGATCTCCCCAGATCATATCTTACAAAGTAAAGGGTTTAGAAATATAAAAATATTGGTAAGCGCTGATCAAGTCCCTTACTTTGCTGATAAAAAAGGATGTTGAGTGGGTGTTTTGTTTAGATAAACAAAGACAACGGCAGAGTCAAAATTAGTACCAATCTGGTATTTTTTTACACTTCCATGTTTCTGTCCTTATATTCACTAAGTGAAAACAAAACAAAGCAAAACTATGTGACCAAGTAGTTCAGCTAGAAACAAATGGCTAATATGGAATAACTCTCAAATTCCAATCTACCTATCTTGAGTCCTCTTTCTCCTGTGTCTGCTTCTGCTGGGAGACAGAGGTACACTACAGCAATTGAATATATCCCCAAACCAATATCTGCATGGCTTGAGTAAGTTACTATCTCTTTAGAAAGGCCTATGAAGAGTGTTTTGGACATTACGTAGTTGGAAGTTAGAATTCTTATCTGTCTCTGGAGGCTTTCCAAGCGCTCCCAATTACACTGTATAGGGAGTTCTCTGCTCCTGTTTTGCTGGAATATGGGTCTGGAGTGAACCCCTGGTATGACCTAAACTGGCAAAGATACACTGTGATGTTGACTAGTTGGCAATGTAGAAAATCCCTGCCCCTTTTTTGACTACTGATTCTGGCCCTTGGCTTTCTCATTGCTGTCCTCATACAAAACAGGGTAATTGCTCTGGGACAAGACCCCCAGGTTTCCACTGCCCAGTACTCAGCTTTACAACTTTAGAAACACCACAAGATTTGTGAGACTACAACTCTCCAATGTAAGAGTACAGCTTTAACAAGGTTACTAAGGGCTGGACAGGCACAGTGGCTCATGCCTATAATCTCAGCACTTTGGGAGGCCGAGGCGGGCAGATCATCTGAGGTCAGGAATTCGAGACCAGGCTGACCAACATGGAGAAATCCTGTCTCTACTAAAAATACAAAATAGCGGGCATGGTGGTGCCTGCCTGTAATCTCAGCTACTTGGGAGGCTGAGGCAAGAGAATCACTTGAACCTGGGAGGTGGAGGTTGCAGTGAGCCGAGATTGTGCCATTGCACTCCAGCCTGGGCAACAGAGTGAGACTCTGTCTCAAAAAAAAAAAAACAAAAAACCAAGAAAAAAAGAAAGAAGTGATGCAGGTGTGGTGGCTCGCGCTTGTATTTCTAGCACTTCGGGAGGGCAAGATGAGCAGATGTCTTGAGCTAAGGAGTTCCAGACAAGCCTGAGCAACATAGTAAAACACTGTCTTTAAAAAAATACAAAAATCAGCTGGGCAGGGTGGGATGCACCTGTAGTCCTAGCTTGAGCCTGGGAGGAGGAGGTTGCAGTGAGCCAAGATGGTGCCAGATTGGGTGACAGAGTCAGACTGTCTCAAAGAAAAAAAAAAAAAAAGAAAAAGGAAAAAAAGAAATGTGCATGGTGTTTAATTTGTTTTAAATTATGTAATAGAAAGTATAATATGTTGACTAATTTCTAAAAAGTTATATTGCATTTGATTTTAAAATGGCATGTACTAAAAATATAGAGCAAAATTTATTTACATATTATGACATCAAAAGTACATCAATACTTCTTTTTTGGGAGAATTTTTGTAAATCTTGCATTGCATATTTTTAAAATAAAATTTATTAATATATTTCTTGTGTTTTCTTCCTAAATGATCAAAGCATAAGAGAACATTTTAAGCTATTGTTTGTATGCATTTTTGAATAAATTATAAGGTCTAGTGAATAAACCTTATTTTCAGTTATTGAAAAGCCCTATTGTATATGCCCATCATTAAATTTTCTATTTAATGATCTTTAAAGATCCAGAGACATATTGTATATAAGAGGTTATGTAAGAATTTTGGCCAAATGAATGTAATTGAAAGATTTGGTGAAAACTATCTCTAGGTGGATTTCATAGAACCATTATCCTTATAGTTCTTATTAACTTGTATATCAAAATCAGAGAAATTATTTTTCATCCTATCATTTATCAGTGGTTACTTAAAATGTATATATTAAACAATATATGCCTAAATAACTATTTTAACCAACATAGGAGTAAAAACTACCATTTTGTCTGAGAGGTACATCATCTGAATGACTAGGTCACGAGCAGGTACTTTGATCTTTGCTAACCATCGCACATACTCTCTTGATACACGTTTGTCAGTTCTCAAACTCCTGTTAAAAAGGAAAAAATACTCGAAATTATTTTTATTGATTGATATAAAAATGTAAGTGGAAACATACCCCATCTGACTTTAAAAGACATGAATGCCCTGGAACATCTTTGTGAATCCCTGGTCAAGGAAGGAAGGTGTCCACAATATACTGTAAATACTAGACCAGACAATTTATAGGGCTTCTTCCAATTCTAAAATTCCTCACTCTTACATTTATATGTTAATTCAGGTATTGTGCATACACATATGTACATAAGGCAAAGTAACTGGTTAAGTTGCCAGTTGAAAATTTCAAAATAAAGAGATGAGTGGAGTTTTCTCTCACATTGGGTGACTATGATGGTGACATTCTTAGGGTGTTTCCAAGGATTAAACAGTCCTGAAAGAAAGCTTTACTAATCCAGAAATGAGAATTAACACAATTTTACTAAAATGGCAAAATTGACAAAACGTAGTGAGATTTCTGAATATTATAATATTCTGATATTAGACATATCTCCATTGTATGCGACCTGGGCAAGTTATTTATGTTCTTTGTGTCAGTTTACTCAACTGTAAAATGTGGATAATAGAAGTACAAAGTGTATAGATAGAATTGTGAGGAGTGAATGAGATAGTACTTAGAATGTTTAGGGCAGTACTTGAACATAGTAAGCTTTCTCTCTCTCTATCTATATATATATACACACATATTTTTTTTTTTTGAGACGGAGTTTCACTCTTGTTACCCAGGCTGGAGTGAAGTGGCGCGATCTCTGCTCACCGCAACCTCCAGCTCCTGGGTTCAAGCAATTCTCCTGCCTCAGCCTCCTGAGTAGCTGGGACTACAGGCGCACGCCACCATGCCCATCTAATTTTTGTATTTTTAGTAGAGACGGGGTTTCACCATGTTGACCAGGATGGTCTCGATCTCTTGACCTCGTGATCCACCCGTCTCGGCCTCCCAAAGTACTGGGATTACAAGCGTGAGCCACCGTGCCTGGCCTCAATATATTTAATTACAACTATTGTTTCCTTGTCTGATGGTTCTATAGCAAAGTAGTCTTTATAAATTTCTGATGGATTTCTTTACTTTCAGATTTCTGAGGGAAATTCTTATTTGTTAAGTGAAAATGTATCAAGTGCCAGAATTTCAGTCCAGCTGTCTACTAACCAGCACTTTTTAAGTGCAACATCAGTAGGGTAAGTTAATAATCAGAAAACAGAAGGGGTGCCCTTTCATTCTTGCATTCTTTCATTATTAGAACCATTCATGGAAAATCATTTTCTGATCTTGTATGGATAAATTGCCAAGATTCTGATTTGAAAGGAGACTTTATAGGAACACAAGTTTAAAATATTTTTTAAAATATTAGATACTTAAATATTATCATATAAATACTGAATTATCCTCATTGTCTCATTGACTTGGGTGAGAACTTTTTGAAAAGGTGTGGCTAAACTTTTATTTAGTTGGGCATAAATTATCTGGTTAGTAGATTAGCCTTTCTTCCTCTCTCTCTGGCATTTTTTTTTCTCTTTTAAATTATTTTGGCATTATTCATTATTTACTGGTATAAGATAGACAACAAAGAAAGAAGTACAAATCTACAATATTTATTAATATTTATTAGTGTTACTAGTGAAAAGAAATGTTTTATCTGAGAGAAAACTAGCTGTGGATATAAATTGGCTCACATGATTGGGCTCTGTCCAGGTGCGTTAGCAGGTGCCTTCCATGCACATCGGGGATGCAGTGCAGAACCCTGAGCACATCTGTCTACAAAGAGAGGGTTTCCTGCCTTTGAGTTTCTCATCATAAAAAAATACTTTTAACATTAAAACAAGTTTCTGGGAAGCAAAAAAATTTAAACCAATGCACACTCAACTATTAACAGGTTTCACTTTTGCCCTGGAGGTCTCTGGCTGTTAAAAGAATCAGGCACTTGGGGAAGAGAAGAGTGGAAATTAGATATTAGACAGGCTGTGTTGGAAAAGCAAAAAGGGTTGGGCAGCCCTCCTGGCTGACCACACAGCCAGTGTAGTGATGACCATGAGGAAGCCAGGACTGGTCTCTGCCATTGCTGTAATAGCTGGAATCTATTTTGTTTATCACCTCTTGATGCTCCTATCTGAATTTTTCTATCATTTCTCATAACTTCAAACAAACAAAAGTGAGCAGTAAATTTGCTTTACACAAATCTATTAAATTATCTAATTATTTCAAGGTTTAAAATGGCTTTATTCATGTATTCAAAATAGTAAATGCTTTTTTTTTTTTCTTAGATGTCAACCAAACGAAGATAAATGTTTTTTAAAAAGCTGCAGTTCCAATTTTGTTTTTGGAGAAAATATGGTAGAAAGAGTTTTGGTAAGATTTTGATATATGTTTTTATTACTATATACAGAGCTGTCACTTTAAATTTCTAAAGGCAAATTAATGAAAAATAATATTAAATTGGATTATTCTTTTTAACTCCTGAGTTTAAAGGGACATTTTCTTTCTTTAACTGGAAAGATTCTCCTGAGAAGCATGTCCTAGTTGCTAAAGCAATAGAAACCCACAGAGGAAGGGAAGTGTATAATTATAACATTATTACTGATGTGAAATATTAAATAGTTCTTTGACTTGTGTTGGGCCAAGGAAATCCCAGAATTATCTGCAATAGTTAGATAAGCTCAACTGGTAATATTTTAATAGTTTGCTGATTGCACTGTTTTATAACAAGATGCATTTAAAATTATTTGCCAATTTGTTCTTATTAGTTAGCCACAACCCTACTTTCAAGCTCTTACATCAAAATGCATTATTATAACTTTTCTTTTGCTAGCTTTCAGAGAAAATTCATAGTGCTTTACTTGCGTATGAAACTATATTTGACTGATGAAAACCCCTGACAGTTATTACCATCATCCTTATTTAATACTCAGCGTCCTTTTGCAAGAACCAACTCATTAAGCCAGCTTATTCCAAGATTTTTTTTTTTTTTTTTTTTTTTTAAATGGGGTCTTGCTCTGTCTCCCAGGCTGGAGTGCAGTGGCACAATCTCAGTTCACTGCAACCTCTGTCTCCCTGGCTCAAGGGATCCTCCCACCTCAGCCTCCCAAGTAGCTGGGATCACAGGTACCCACCAACCACACTTGGCTAACTTTTTGTATTTTTGGTAGAGGCAGGGTTCACCATGTTGCCCAGGCTGGTCTTGAACTCCTGAGCTCAAGCAATCCATGCGCTTTGGCCTCCCAAAGTGCTGGGATTATAGGCGTGAGCCACTGAGCCCAAACTCATCCCAAGATTTTTAGGGCTTTCATATATTATTCATTTTAAAGGCATAGTTTATTTTATACATGCTTCAGACTACATACCAGTTGAAGGGTAATGTCAGTTTTTTGGCTTAGACTTAGAGGAACCCTTCTGTCACTCCCAAAATGGTCAACTTACCAATCCTAGAGCTGCTGACCTATGCCTCTGAATGTGAACCAGAACAGACTAGCCTCCAAGGTGAATTAACAGGCAGTACATTTAGGCCCATTTATTCCATATCACTTATTTCTAAGTTTAACACCAGATTAGCCACAGCATCTGTAAAATAACAGATAGGGCTTTCTAAACCTCACAGGATCAACTTTACAAATTCAATTCAATTTACCAAACATGTACTGAGTTCTTATAGTATATAAAGCATTGATCTCAAATTTGGCTGCATGTTAGAATTATCCTTTCAAGGATTTTTTATGCCTGGCCTCATCCCAGAACAATTAGCTCAGAATGCCTGTGGGTGAGGCCAGGTGTCAAGTGATTCTAATGTACAGGCAGGTTTGAAAACCACCTAAGTGGTTATGCAAAGCTAAAGGAGACACTGTGCCCTACAGGTGTAAGAGGAGACAGAGAATACCTATACAAAAAAACTATAGTCAGGACTACAGGTTTGGTTTAAGAAGGCACTTGTGCACATTTCCTATGGTCATTTTAAATCTGGCTTATAAAGGAACCTGAACTCTCTATCTCTTTGAGTTGTAAATATCGTAAGGATAACAGGAACTATAGAGATAATATGTGTTTGTCCTCTAATGCTGTCGAATTTTGGCCTTGTGATTTGGTGGCCAGGATGTACTCCTGGCTTATTGACTGACTACGTGTTTTTAGAGTGAGTCATTTAAACTTTCTGTGCCTCAGTTTATATTTTCTTAAAATGGAAATAATTATACCCATCACTACCAATGTTTTTATTATACTTTAACTTCTGGGGTACATGTGCAGAACATGTACCATGTTGGTTTGCTTTACCCATCAACCCATCATCTACATCAGGTATTTCTCCTATGCTGTCCCTCCCCTAACCCCCCATCCCCCAAAGGTCTGGTGTGTGATGTTCCTCTCCTTGTGTCCATGTGTTCTCATTGTTCAACTCCCACTTATAAGTGAGAACATGTGGTGTTTGGTTTTCTGTTCTTGTGTTAGTTTGTTGAGAATAATGGTTTCCAGCTTCATCCATACCCCTGCAAAGGACATAAACTCATCCTTTTTTATGGCTGCATAGTTTTCCATGGTGTATATGTGCCACACTTTCTTTATCCAGTCTATCACTGATGGGCATTAGGCTGGTTCCAAGTCTTTGCTACTGTGAACAGTGTCACAGTAAACATACATGTGAATGTGTCTTTATAGTAGAATGATTTATAATCCTTTGGGTATATACCCAGCAATAAGATTACTGGGTCAAATGATATTTCTAGTTCTAGATCTTTGAGGAATTGCCATGCTGTCTTCCAGAATGGTTGAACTAATTTGCACTCCCAACAACAGTGTAAAAGTGTTCCTATTTCTCCACATCCTCTCGAGCATCTGCTGTTTCTTGACTTTTTTTTTTTTGAAAAAGAAAGAAAAAAGAAGGAAAGAAAAAGAAAGAAAAGAATGAAAGAGAGAAACAAAGAGGAAGAGAAAGAGGGAGAGAGAATGGGAGTCTTGTTTTATTGCCCAGGCTAGAATGCAGTCTAAAAATGGGTATTGAAAACCTCTTTTATGCCAATAATTGTGCTTAACAATGGAGACAGGAAGGAATAAGGGAGGAAAATAACAAACAAGCAGCCAACCAATATTTCATTTAAACCTATGAAATGCTATGCAATTACTGAGGAGTGATTTACTTCCAATTATATAGTCACTTTTAGAGTAGGTGTGATGTGGTACTGAGAAGAATGTATGTTTTGTGGATTTGGGGTGGAGAGTTCTATAAATGTTTATTAAGTTTACTTGTTCCTGGTCTGAGTTCAAGTCCTGGATAGCCTTGTTAATTTTCTGTCTCGTTGATCTGTCTAATATTGACAATGTGATGTTAAAGTCCCCCACTATTGTTGTGTGGGAGTCTAAGTCTCTTTATAAGTCATTAAGAACTTGCCTTATGTATCTGGGTGTTTCTGTATTGGGTGCATATATATTTAGGATCATTAGCTCTTCTTGTTGCATTGATCCTTTTACCATTATGTAATGTCCTTCTTTGCCTCTTTTGATCTGTGTTGCTTTAAAGTCTATTTTATCAGAGGCGAGAATTGCAACTCCTGCTTTTTATTTTTAATATTTTGCTCTCCATTTGGTTGGTAAATCTTCCTCCATCCCTTTGTTTTGAGTCTTTGTGTATCCTTGCATGTGAGATGGGTCTGGATGCATCATACTGATGGGTTTTGGCTTTTTATCCAATTTGTCTGTGTCTTTTGATTGGGGCATTTAGTCGATTTAAATTTAGGATTAATAATAATATATGTGAGTTTAATACTGCCATTTTATGCTAGCTGGCTGCTTTGCCCATTAGTTGATGTAGATTCTTCATTATGTTGATGCTCTTTACCTTTTGGTATATTTTTGGAATGGCTGATACTGGTTGTTCCTTTCTTTGTGTAGTGCTTCTTTCAGAAGCTCTTGTAAAGCAGGCCTGGTGGTTTTTCTCTGAGTACTTGCTTGTTCACAGAAGATTTTATTTTTCCTTCACTCATGAAGCTTAGTTTGGCTGGATATGAAATTCTGGGTTGAAAGTTCTTTTCTTTAAGGGTGTTAAATATTGGCCCCCACTCTCTTCTGGCTTGTAGGGTTTCTGCTGAGAGATCTGCTATGAGTCTGATGGGCTTCCCTTTGTGGGTAACCTGACCTTTCTCTCTGGCTGCCCTTAGCATTTTCTCCTTCATTTCAACCCTGGTGAATCTGACAATTATGTGCCTTGGGGTTGCTCTCGTTGAGGAATATCTTTGTGGTGTTCTCTGTATTACCTGGAATTGAATATTATCCTGCCTTGCTAGGTTGGGAAAGTTTTCCTGAATAATATCCTGAAGAATATTTTCCAAGTTGGATTCATTCTCTTCATCACATTCAGGTACACCTATCAAACGTAGATTAGGTCTTTTCACATAGTCCCATATTTCTTGGAGACTTTGCTCATTCCTTTTTACCCTTTTTTCTCTAAACTTGTCTTCTCGTTTTATGTCATTGAGTTGGTCTTCGACCTCTGATATCTTTTCTTCTGCTTGATCAATTCGACTGTTAAAACTTGTGCATACTTCACGAAGTTCTTGTATTGTCTTTTTCAGCTCCATTAATTCACTTATATTCCTCTCTAAATTGTCTATTCTTGTTAGCATTTCATCAAACCTTTTTTCAAGATTCTTAGTTTCTTTGCATTGGGTTAGAACATGTTCTTTCAGCTCACAGAAGTTTCTTATTATCCACCTTCTGAAGCCTGATTCTGACAATTCATCACACTCATTCTCCAACAGGCCTTGTTCCCTTGCTGATGAGGAGTTGTGATCCCATGAAGGAGGAGAGGCATTCTGATTTTGGGTGTTTTCAGCCTTTTTGCGCTGGTTTCTTCCCATCTTTGTGGATTTATCCATCTGTTGTCTTTATAATTGCTGACTTTCAGATTGGGTCTCTGAGTGGACGTCCAGCTTGTTGGTGGTGATGTTATTTCTGTTTCTTTGTTTTCCTTCAGTGGACGTCCCTCCTCCACAGAGCTGGACCTTCCTGGGTTCAGCTGTGCTTGCTGTGAAACTCTCAACCATCAGTGTTTCCAATTGCTGTTTTTTTGTGGGGGTGGGACCAGCCGATCCTGAGCACCAGGCTCCCTGCCTAGGAGCCCCGTTTTTCTTTTCCTAATTGAACAGCAGATTCTCTCCCAGATGCCCCAGCGCCTGCCGAAAAGGCGCCGGGATCTATGCAATTTCCCGTGTGGGGACCGCTCTGGCTGACACAGTGGCACTGAGATTCGTGGCACTTTTCTGCTCAGGAATCTCCCGGTCTGGATCTCTGCTTCAGTCCCCTTTTCAATCAGCTGAATGGGTGACTCTGCCTTCCCGGAGCTCCAAATGCCAACTAAAAGGGCACCCAGTCCCGCATACTCCACACTGAGATCCGCCATGCTGGGACGCCAGCAAAACAGCCACGCCAGCCAAAAGAGTCGTGCTGGTGACCTGTGGTGCTCCTCCACTGGGAATCTCCTGGTCCGTAGGCAACAAAAATTCGTCTGGAAGTCTGGTGTCCACTCACTCCCTGAGCCTTCACTGAGAGCTGCAATCCTGAGCTGTTGCTAATTGGCCATCTTAGATGTCTCTCCCGTTTCTTGAATTTTTAATGATCACCATTCTAACTAGCATGAGATGGTATCTCAATGTGGTTTTGACTTGCATTTCTCTAATGACCAGTGATAATGAGTTTTTTTTCATATGTTTTTTGGCTGCAAAAATGTCTTCTTTTGAGAAGTGTCTGTTCATATCATTTGCCCACTTTTTGATGGAGTTGTTTTTTTCTTGTAAATGTGTTTAAGTTCTTTGTAGATTCTGGATATTAGCCCTTTGTCTGAAGGATAGATTGCAAAAATTTTCTCCCATTCTGTAGGTTGGCTGTTCACTCTGATGACAGTTTCTTTAGCTGTGCAGAAGCTCTTTAGTTTAATTAGATCCCATTTGTCTGTTTTGACTTTTGTTGCCATTGCTTTTGGTGCTTTAGTCATGACGTGTTTGCCAATCAAATCAGAACTCAGGATTAAGAAATTCACTCAAAACCACACAACTACATAGAGACTGAACAACCTGCTTCTGAATGACTACTAGATAAATAAATTAAGGCAGAAATAAAGATGTTCTTTGAAACCAGTGATAATAAAGACACAATATATCAGAATCTCTGAGACACATTTAAAGCACTGTGTAGAGGGAAATTTATAGCACTAAACCCCACAAGAAAAAGCAGCAAAGATCTAAAATCGACACCCTAACATCACAGTGAAAAGAACTAAAGAAGCAAGAGCAAACAAATTCAAAAGCTAGCAGAAGACAAGAAATAAGTAAGATAAGAGCAGAACTGAAGGAGATAGAGACATGAATTACCCTTCAAAAAAATCAGTGAATCCAGGAGCTCGTTTTTTGAAATGATTAACAAAATAGATAGGATCACTAGCCAGACTAATAAAGAATAAAGAGAGAAGAATCGAATAGATACAATAAAAATGATAAAGGATATACCGCTACTGATCCCAGAGAAATACAAACTACCATCAGATAATACTATAAACACCACTATACAAATAAACTAGAAAATCTAGAAGAAATGGATAAATTGCTGGGCACATACACCCTCCCAAGACTAAACCAGGAAGAAGTCGAGTCCTGAATAGACCAATAACAAGTTCTGAAATTGAGGCAGTAATAGCCTACCAACTAAAAAAGCCCAGGATCAGATGGATTCACAGCTGAATTCTACCAGAGGTACAAAGAGGAGCTAGTACCATTCCTTCTGAAATGATTCCAAACAATAGAAAAAGAAGGACTCCTCCTTAACTCATTTTATGGGGCCATCATCATCCTGATACCAAAACCTGGCAGAGGCACAACAAAAAAAGAAAATTTCAGGCCAATATCCCTGAAGAACATTGATGCAAAAATCCTCAACAAAATACTGGCAAACAGAATCCAGCTGCACATCAAAAAGCTTATTCACCACAATCAAGCCGGATTCATCCCTGGGATGCAAGGCTGGTTCAAATCAATAAACGTAATCCATCACATAAACAAAACCAATGACAAAAAAACACACACACAATTATCTCAATAGATGCAGAAAAGGCCTTTGATAAAATTCAACACCCCTTCATGCTAAAAACTTGTAAGAGCTATTTATGATAAACCCATAGCCAATATCATAGTGAATGGGCAAAAACTGGAAGCATTCCCTTTGAAAATCGGCACAAGGCAGGATACTGTCTCTCAGCACTCCTATTCAACACAGAATTGGAAGTTCTGGCCAGGGCAATCAGGCAAGAGAAGGAAATAAAGGGTATTCGAGTAGGAAGAGAGAAAGTCAAATTGTCTCTGTTTGCAGGTTACGTAATTGTATATTTAGAAAACCCCATAGTTTCAGCCCAAAATCTCCTTAAGCTGATAAGCAACTTCAGTAAAGTCTTAGGATACAAAATTAATGTGCAAAAATCACAAGCATTCCTATATAGCAATAACAGACAGAGAGCCAAATCAAGAACGAACTGCCATTCACAACTGCTACAAAGAGAATAAAATACCTAGGAATACAACTTACAAGGGATGTGAAGGACCTCTTCAAAGAAAACTACAAACCACTGCTCAAGGAAATAAGAGGACACAAACAAATGGAAAAACATTCCATGCTCATGGATAGGAAGAATCAGTATTGTGAAAATGGCCATATTGCCCAAAGTAATTTATAGATTCAATGCTATCCCCATCAAGCTACAATTCACTTTCTTCACAGAATTGGAAAGAGCCACTTTAAATTTCATATGGAACCAAAAAGAGCCCACATAGCTAAGACAATCTTAAGCAAAAGGAACAAAGTTGGAGGCATCACCCTACCTGACTTCAAACTATACTACAAGGCCACAGTTAAAAAAACAAAACAAAACAAAAAAACAAAAAACCCAGCATGGTACACAAGGCTATAGTGACAAAAACAGGATGGTACTGGTATCAAAACAGATTTATAGACCAATGGAACAGAACAGAGTCCTCAGAAATAACACCACACATTTACAACCATTGGATCTTTGACAAACCTGACAAAAACAAGCAATGGGTAAAGGATTCCCTATTTAATAAATGGTGTTGGGAAAACTGGCTAGCTATACGCAGAAAGCTGAAACTGGATCCCCTCCTTATGCCTTATACAAAAATTAACTCAAGATTGATTAAAGACTTATGCATAAGACCTAAAACCATAAAACCCCCGGAAAACCTAGTCAATACTCATTCTACCAATTTTAAGGGAATGTCTTGATGTCTAATTAAGTAATGAGAAAGAATTTTCAGTACGTAAGTGAAAAAATATAAGCATAAGTTCTTAAGTATAATTGTTTCAATTCTCTGTGTTCTGCAGAGAGCTACACATTATCATAAATGTCATGTCAATTAGTCTTTTTTATGAAGGCCTTGTTGCAGCAGACTTACAGAGCCCCAGGTAGCCTTAGAAGAGATTGTTGGCAAAAATTGTCTGGGAAGAAAAGTTAGGATTCTTTCTACAAAGATGTCTTCTGAGACATCTTTTGGGGATCTCTGGATAACTTTTTTGTTTTTTTCCATAAAATGGATAGCAAGAGTAAATTTCTGGAGATACTGATATACCTTGAAACAGAAATGATAGTTGTGTCTCCTGGGCATTTGGTTAGTCTAGTGAGTGTGGAACGGCTGGTACCTTCTTTTGTGCCATTAGACCTTTCCCATTGCCTCCAGGACTACATCCCACCTGAAGTAGGCTGGCAGTAACTAGATTATGTTTTCTGAGTATTAGAACTAAGGCTTTCTAACAATGGGGATGAATTCTTTGTTCAGCACACAGAAAACCCAAAACAAAAATGTACCAGCTAGGTTTGTTTGCTGTGTTGAAATAGAAAAACTGAAGTGTTTTACTGCAAATATATAGGAATCAAATTAAATACTTTTATGAAATAATAATGAATCTTTTTCCCCACTCAGGGTACTCAAAAGCTCACCCAGCCTCAACTTGAAAATGATTCATATGCTAAGGAAAAACCATTCAAATCCACTCCGAAATTTCCTATCAACTTTTTAAGTTCAAGTAAGAATTATTTCATTTGTAAAACATTTGATTCAACTAGTGTGTCTCCTGTTTTTCATGTTATTTAACATTAATATTTAATATAAGTAAATTAATATTTAACATAAGATTTTTAAAAACAATCCAATATTTCAAATATTTTGGTAAAAATTAAAGCATATAAATATGATTATCTGATATATAAACTTTAAAAATTTTTTGAGTTAATGCTACGGGGAAATCAATAAGGAGATTTTATACAAACTCAAGCAGTTTGAATTTTTGGAAACACTATTATAAGTAGATATATGTGGTGATAGGGACAACAAAGAACTTTCACAGTAGAGAAAATGGGGTCTTTTAAGTATTTCTCCCCCATTTTATCTTAGGAACAGACTCTATTAAAAATACTTCCCTAATTGAATCAGCTGCTGCATTCTCTTCTCAACCATCACAAAAATGCTTGCTGGAGAAAATTGATGTTATAACCGGAGAGGAAACAGAACATAATGTGTTAAAGGTCTGTATATCATGTTTTACTCTTTCTGGTAGTATTTACATATTTGGAATAAAGCTACTATCAGAAGAGACATCTTTAAAAACACAGACAGAAGTATAGTCTTCATGGGGATTAAGTTACTTAAATAAAAATGTTGGATGCACCCAAAAATTAAATCAATACTTTATTATCTTCTTGTGTTTGTATGTGTACATTGCAGGAAAATTGGTTGTTAAGTTTACACTTATTCACATTAGTCCCTTAGAAATAAGATAGCCAAGGATACTGCTTTAATACTTGCTTTTGTAATCAGTACTATTATACTGATTACGTAATTCTACTTACACAGAGGTTTAACAATGTTGATAACTTGATTTTAGTCCAGTAAGAATTTTGTTTTCCTTCTAAAAAAGTTTAGAATTTCATGTAATTCAAGAATCTCACAGATATACCCTACAGTATCATAGGTAGGATTTTAATCCTACTATGCACAAGCACATGAAATGCAATTACTACAAATTTACCCTTTTCCAACAAGGCAGAAATTTCTCTTTGCTTTTCTCCATCTGCTTTTCTTCAAACTCTCTCCATTCCTTTCACTTCCTCTATGATCTGCAGACACTTTTAAGTGTGTCTTAAAGCATAACTCTTAGATTAGATTAATTCCAGTATTATTGAAGTAATTGCTAGGGATGAGGCTCTGACATGCTCTATTTTTAACAGGCTGTCTAGGTGATTCTTGTACACAGTAGTAATGATTGTAGTAGGGTAGCCTGTGGTGTCATATCCTACTTTTCCACATTATCATGCTATCTTTGAAAATTTTGAAGCATGCAAATGGTTCAATGATTCCTTTACTTTCAAATAACATTATATAGCTCAAATAATATTAATATAAAAGTTTATGTATATATATATATAGACATAGTGTTAAAAAAACCAGAAAGTATGTATGGCAGTCTACCATTGACAGAAAAAAAGGGGGAACATTTATATGTATTGGCATGTATATACATACAAATATCTCTGGAAGGATAAACAAAATATTTATACCAGTGATTAATTGTTGCAGGGGTGGAAATTGATAGATGGGAAATAAAAGCTGGGGGCCCTTTTCCCTTTGTATGTCTTTTTACTTTTTGATGTTTGAACTATCCAAAAATTATATGTTTCTAAATGTTAAATATATTTTAAAAGCTGCTTTATAAATCGTTAAAAAGGATTATTCCAGTAAAAGATCAGACACATATAAATGTGTCATAACATAGGAAATAACTTACTTTGAAAAAATTTCCTATATTTGATATTTAAAAAAAATTGTCATTTAGATCAACTGCAAGCTTTTCATATTCAACAAAACAACACAATCCTGGATTGAAAGGGGCAGAGGAACGTTGAGACTGAATGACACAGCAAGCAGTAACTGTGGAACATTACAGTCAAGACTAAGTAAGGAATCCTTTTGTAAAGCAAGCTATGATTTCTCATGTGTACCTATAATGATATAGGTACACATCATCTTCTGGAGTTGTGCTATAAAACACACCAAAACATCAGACTGTTGAAAATATTTCTATAGGAGCTTTCCATTTCAAGCAGGCTCTTCTGTTAGACTGCATGGGCTCCAGTTCTGGCTCCAGCAGTGACTAACTAGTGACCTTGACAAGTTTCTCAATCTCTCTCTGTATTCTACTTAGATCGATTTAAAATGGGAATAACTGTAGTTCATGACTTACTGAGTGACCAAGAGAATTTAATGAGATAAAGCATGTAAAGCACCTATATCAGAGCCCAGTACACACCTAAAAAGTAATTTTACTATGATTTGAAAGAATATGATGCAAATTATTTTGTAAAGTGAAAAGTTTTTCTAAAAGAAAATACTTGTCCCATAATTTGTCCTTGGTATCCCACACATGGCGTGGGGGTCAGGATGAAGGATTAGTCTCTAAGGAAAGAGATTAGTTTCTAAATTGCAGTTATTGAATCCTGCAGGCACGGTGATTTTCAGAAGCTGGAGCCAGTCAAACTGAAAGATACAAAAGAGCTGGCATTCAAAAAGACACAATGGGCATTGTTCATAAGTACAAACTGAAAGAGAGCACAGGGAGAGATCTGGCCAGGATGAATGGATTCATTGGTCAATTTTGAGAGGTCAAGACTTTGGAAGAAACCACAGGTAGCTGTTGGATCCAAGAATAAGGTTCTTTGTTGAGTTTTGGATATTAAGCTCAAGAAATAGGTAGAAATACAATTCAGATTAAAAAGATAGAAACAGAATCTTCAGTTCTGTAACTGGCACATAGGTTTCTAAATAACCCAACCAAGTAATAGTCCCAAGGCAGGTGCAAGTTATTTACTACTCTGCTTTGATTCCACTGCCTGGCAAAAGAAAAAAAAAATACCCCCAAACAAAAATAAAAAACAAGAAATCCCAAAAGAAGCTTTCTTTTTATTATACAGATAATATACATTCATTGTAAAAAGCAGAAAGTATGGATTGGAAAAATTTTTTAAAATCACTTAAAGGCCTATCTTCCTAACATCTGCTAACAGAATATGTTTTTCTGACCTTTGTTTTCTGTATATAAATGTATACATAGACCATAGAATTTATGATTCATGGTGTTTATTTTGCTTTGTAGCTATTTTTTCTTTTACATATTACACTATGATTTTTCCACATCAATAAATATCTTTTTGCAGTATTCTTAATGGGTTCATAATATTCTCTTGAATGACTACACCATAATTTATTTAACTAGTTTCATTTTTTTGGACACTTAAGGTTTTTGTTCCAGTTTTCTTCACTGTAAACAATTCTCAGACAAATATTCTTCAGACCATCAGTTCTAAAAGGAGTTCTAAAATTTTAGCCACTTTTAAAAATATTACAGTAAAAAAGTATAATTTCAGTATTTAAGATAAAAAAGTTCTCCCAACATATTAAAGTCCAATTTGAAAACCAAGTTATAATCCAGTCAAATCACAAGTTAGTATTGAATCTACAGTCTGAAAAACAACTACAAAATTTATTTTGCTGCATTTTGAAAATGGTATATTCCTCTGTGAGGCATCAACTGTTCTGTAGCCTGATGTAGTCACCTTCCTATTTTAGTTATGCGCAATCAAGGCAGTCTAAGGCTGATCCTCAATAGCAAACTCTGGGCCCAAATGAAGATTCAAAGAGCAAACCACAAAAATGTACGAATAACAGCTACTGATTTAGAAGACTATACCATCAAAGTATTTTTAATTCAGGTAAGTGAGAAATTTCAGTGACAGAGGATTATCCTACTAAATTAATAGATGTCTGTGGTACTAATTTGTTTTTTCATTTTGTTATAATGGTATATTGGATGAGAGCCATTCATTATGTCTGTTTATAGTATAAGAGCTAAATTTTATGTGAAATTCAGAAATTAACACCAAAGTCTATGCAATCAATTGGTACTCATTCAAAGATATTGGTGTGATATATGCCATCAAATCTCTACACTTTACTATCGAAATTTTGTGAACAATCTTACTATGTTACCAAAGTGGCTATTGTCAGGAATGGTTCCCAGGAAGAGGTGAGCAGACTCTGAAGCCTAATGCTTATCCTGCAAGCGGAGACTGAAAAAACTTTGGGTCACTGGAAAAGAACCAATGAGAAATGGAAAAACACAGAGCTAGCAAGTTAAAAAAAAACAGTCCAATAGCAAATTCCAATTCTGGACATGAGTAAATCTCCAAGGTAACAGGATGGGAGCACAGTTTTAGCTGTTCCTGGCAGATGAATACTTGACCTTAAACACAAGATCCAGATCCAAGAGCTGGCAAGAATAAATCGAAGAAAAAAAAAAAAAACCCAGAAACAAAACCACAAACCCCTCCCTGGCAAAATTGAATTTGCCCATGGGCTGACTGGAGAAGACTTATTACCCAAGTGACTCATGCAGAAGGTGACAATACAAATAAACTGGCTTCTATGTAGTAACGTGGAAAAAAAGCTGGCAGGTGCCCATGATGAAAAACGAAAGTTTATTAGCTACCATTAAGTGTATTATTAGCTGTAAGTGATACTGAGTATTAAAATGTTCAGGTAAGATGATGTACAAACCCCATTTACTACTTAAGGTATTAATACTCTTGCCAGTCTTCTGGGCCAGATCCCCCCTTGGTTTTGGGTGGGTAAAGTAGCATGCCAGAGACTGAGCCTGTTAACCATGACTAGATTCCATCCTCAGAGATAGTGACTATTAACATTTTGGTCTTATACTTTAGTACATACATGCATCTGTGTGCAGGTATATACATACATACATACATATATGTAACATCATGTCCATACTGTATAACCTTCGGGCAAGCTACTTAGCCTTCTTTAAACTGATTTTATTCATCTGCGAAACAATGATGGTAACAAAAGTACACTTTAGAAAGGCTGCTGAGATTAAATAGTTAATATGATTGTGAAACACACATTATGCTATTTTACTTATCAATGTTAATGAGTGTCTTCATGACATTATTCTTCACAAAGTGTTTTAGTAGGTGAAAGAATTCTATTATGGACCATAATTTATTCCATTAATCCCACTGACGATGATAAAACCTGGGATTCAACTTTCAGCCAATTTGCTGACTAGCAACTCAGACAAGTTATTTTACCTTTCTGAGCCATAATTTCCTCATTCATAAAGGGATGAGGGAAACAAGCATATCTTGAATACTTGTGCTGCCTATTTATTGCTGATATAAGTGAAATTAATAATGAACCCACAGTTTGACTATAAGAATTGAAAAAAGAATATAAACAGTAAATTTTATACCAACTTTACTGTTACCTTTATTTTTATATTTTAATATGAATAACAACCATTAAAACAGCATATAAAAGTATTAAAAAGCAAGAACTTCTGATGTATTGATGGTACAATGCCATAGACTGCTCTAATGAGCTCAGCATATCCAAAAAGCTATGTAGTTTGGAAGAATGTCCAAGCAAAGTGATGGACAGGAAATGGAAGTATTTTTTTCTGCAAGCCTACAATTTTCTATAGCGTAAAATAGTGGAGGAGGGATGGTCTTAACAAGTTTACATTCAAATAGAAATTTTATATAACAAAAATTCACTTTCTCAATTTAAAATGTATGAATTGGGATTGCTTATAAAAGTATACATTTTAGGATGCAATTTGTTTCAAGATTGTCTTTTTACTGCTTAAATTTTAGGGTGTTAGCACCTATGTACATTGCAGATTTATGCCACATAATTCCCTTCTTATTAGTAGTAAAAGATTAAAAATCTGTAAAATGTAGCTAACATTACTTATTTTCTTAACGATTTAATGTTCCTCATGTAGGCCAGTGTCAAAGATATAGCATATTTGTATGCAGCAATACATCATCGTCTTGTTGCCCTTCAAAGCTTCAATAAGCAGAAAGACGTCAATCAAGCTGAAAGCCTGTCAGAAACAGTCCAACAATTGAACTGCGAAAGCTGTGATGAGAATGAGGATGATTTTATCAAAGTCACTAAAAACAGATTAGGTAAATAGCTTTTGTTTTGTTAGGTCAAAGGTTTAAAAAAGAATTTTAAGCATGATCCTAATATATTAGGTAGATTTTTAAACAAGTGGAACTGCTCTGTTTAAAGTGGGTGATGGCTAGAGCCCTGGCTGTTTGGATCTGAGGAGTGGGTTTGAAAATAACTGTCTTCTATAGGTAGTGCTCATTTTATCAAGTCAGCCTCATGGTGATGCCCGTATGTCATTTGCCTATAAATTCCATAAAAGACTATTACGTTGCTAACCCTGAAACTAACCCTTCATTTATATTTATCTTCATTTATTCTCATTCCATTATTGGCTATAATAGGAAGAATTATAAATACATACAATGGGTCCACCTGGTAAATTTGGCTTGATACCCTGAAAATCTTGTTTATTCCCTTTTTAGAATTTGACTGCTTATAAGAATATCTAGATTGTACAAATACGATTTTCAAGGACCTATTTTGTCTAGGACAAAAAAGTACTATTTCTTTTATTATTTACAAATAAAGTAAGGTTGAAGTGGAACCAGTGTAAACAGATTGTCAGCTTTTACTGCTTATCTTGATATGTGAAAACAATGTCAAAAATAGTAAGCTCAACTTTGTTATATAGATGTAGTTATTCCAATAAAGTCATCTAAATGTTTTCACTAACAGTTTCACTTAGTCCTGAATTCTGTTCTACAGAGGACTGAATAATACAATTACAATGATAGTGTGGTAACAAGCATTTTTTCAACTCTTAATCATTTTGCAATATTAAAGCTGGTTTAATCATACATAATTTTAAGAATCTATCAAAGAACATGCATAACTGGATGAAATATCTTCCTTTGCTTAATACTAAAGCTATAATCAAAAGGAAAAATACACAAAACATCCAGAACAGTATAATCAAAAGGAAAAATACACAAAACATCCAGAACCTGCTTTACCCAGTGATTCAGAGAACTAAGTGAATATAATTTTCTTGCTACTTTAAACAAATTATGTTAAATGAACAGTTTATTAGTCTTTAAACATATAAAATGAACAAAACTGTCTTTTACTTTATAATAATGGTTACATTGCCAATAATAAAATGAGGTCTATCAGAGAATTAGTTGGTACACATTAATAATGTCAATTTAAAATAAGAATTAAAGAGCAAATTTTCTTATGAACCAATGACACGTGCTTATGATATCTATATTTTGTTATATTTCATTTTAGGAAAGGGGTGCTGTGTAACTATCTTAATAAAGAACAATGAAAATAATGCAAAGCAAATGTCAATCATATGAACCCCCTTTCCCCTGACATTTTTTCCCCTTTTCACTTAGTATCTTCTCCAGGAGGCATTAAAAACAAATGGTAAAATGTTATGGAAGCAATAAAACATATTTTTTGGACTTTGTTGCCTATAAATTCTCTAAAAGAGTCATGATTAAAATTTTACCAACATCTCTACATGTTACTTGTAAAAATGTATATTCTGTAGCTTTTATTTCCTCACCAATGAGTATATTCATGAATATTAATGTTTAGTTGCATTTTCAACATTAAATCTAGTCCAAATACAATACTGTATAATAAAACATTTTAAATTTATATCACAGATCCTTCTAGGTGGACTCACAGACAGTCGGTTGCCTGTTCATGAATACTACCTACTATAAATATGACATCTACAAAGAGGGGTCACCCTACTAAAAATACTAAACCACCCTAACGAATCAGAAGATTCTATTCATTCCTTGAAGAGTTTTTACAGAAAACCTTAAGAAATGTAATTTGTTGCAATTAACATTTTTCTCTTATGTTTTACATTTTACATTTTGATTGTTATGCAGAAACTGACAGAATTTTAAAAAATTAATGGACTTCAGAAGTTCAAAATTTATCATTTTTGAAGAAGTTAGAGTAGGATTTTATAACTAATTTGGACTTTTCATCACATTGGTGGATATAATAGTTGGAATTATAAATTGCTAGATTTGATAAATATCTAACAAAATGTTTATTTTTTTTCAGTCACACATTGGCCATAAAACAAATACTTTACTAAATTTCCAGAGTAATTTCTTTGAAAAATAATATAATTGCATGATAACATTTCACTAAATCCTATTTATCTTCAGGGAAATGTGTATTTTAATTTAGATTTTGGATTTTCTAATATGATAAGCTTATATATTCATGGTATGAATTCCCTTAAAAAGAGCATCTGCTCTTGGACTTTTATCTGTTGCATCTTGTAAATGCTTGACTCATGGTCAGCATCCAATAGTTGTTAAATGAATAAATAAAATATAATACATTACTTATGTATCAAAAAGCATGTATAAAAATGCCAAAATGTTAACTTGTTCTACTTTGTTTTATGTAATTGTATTTTCATTAATATTTTAGTAGGTGTGGCTGTATATAGAGAAAAACAAACGCATCATATATAGCCAAATGAATCTTTTTCTCAGTTGCTATTATTATAATAGGCCACAGTAATTTCAACAATTTTGCAAGAGTTTTGATGCTCTTCTTTGAGATTTGTTTCAGAGACACTTCATGAATCACATAAGAAAATCAGTCTCAGTACTTATAGCCCTATTTCATTTTTCAATCTAGTTTTATAACACCATGGCTTCAATGAGACTTTTGATTGTGACCCCTAAACAATTCTCTGATTAGGGGATAAAAACTCCTAATTCTAAAATGTTTCTGAAAATGTTCTCAACAATGATGACATATTTGGAATAAGGGTACAATTTCACTAAGTGCTATTTCAAAGAATATTCATTTGGATATATGAATATACATTTTTAAAAGATATATTACTGTATTACTATACCTGTTATAAAATAATAAAGATATATAAGTATTTAAGTCAAATCTCAGCTAGTGCCTGAAAATTTAGTATAGCATATGAAAGTTGAATTAACTCTTTTAGATTATAATTTAGTTAGTATGCTAATTGTTCAACATTTTGCTCCTTCCTTGTAACTGAGAAGGTGTAACTTATTATAAGTTAATTACTAGAGGCCCATTCATGCTTCCAGTGATTCTAGGAGAAATACGGCACATAATATCCCTTACTTCTAAATAAAGGAGTCAATGACCCAGGAAATAAAGAGAAAAAAACTTAATGTGAGATGAAGAACAGATAGAAAGAGGGCAAAAAAGAGCTTTAGTATGAAAGGAAGGACAAAAAGAATGGACAACAGAAATTCCCTTTTTTAAAATCCAGAAGAGTGACTCTGATGCAGAACACACTCAGTGGAAAATTTTCATTAGAAACATAACACAGAGAGACATTTGGAGAAGATAATAAAGTACTGGTTCTCTTTTATTATAAGATCTTAGCTGATGTGGGAACATTATGATTGCACTATAAATTGCTAAAGAAGAGAACAAATAACTTTTTTTGTTCTTTCTTTTTTTCATTTTTTTAGAGTCTCGCTTTGTCACCCAGGTTGGAGTGCAGTGGCACAATCTTGGCTCACTTCAACCTCTGCCTCCTGAGTTCAAGGGATTCTCCTGCCTCACTCAGCCTCCTGAGTAGCTGGGATTACAGGCACCCACCATCAAAGCCCAGCTAATTTTTATATTTTTAGTAGAGACAGGGTTTCACCATGCTGACAGGGCTGGACTTGAACTCTTGATCTCAAGTGATCCACTTGCCTTGGCCTCCCTAAAGTTCTGGGATTACAGGTGTGAACCACTGTACCTGATCATCTTTATCCTTTTGACATGTTCCTTGTCCCCACACTAAGGTGGAGAGAAAACAATATCTTCTCAATGCTTGAAACATTTTTAAGTTGAATTCATTCTATGATTTTCTTTAGATTTCTCGGCATATATCAATGAAAAAAATTCACATTCACTACCTTAGTTTCTGATCTATAAAGAAATGCCAGTGCAACAAAATCAAATGTAGGGTTAGAAAATCAGGAAAGCAAAGAGAGAAGTGAAAATTCCCAGATTATGAAATGGAAAGGAACAGAAACGAAATTGAAACTCACAACTCTTTCAACCATTTTCTATACACTTTGTTGTTCTTTCAATTCTTTTGCAAATATTTAGTACGATTTTGGAGGAATAGTAGAAATAGAAACATTTTATAGTTTTTCTTTGTCCTGTATCTTCATCTAGCCTTCTTCTTTTTAGCTTTCCTGTATCCTTTGTTCCCCTTTTATGATGAGAGATTAGTTGTACAATAACATCCATCACAAGTTATTTAGGTGTATTTCAAAGTATACATTTTGTATTTCCAAAGCAGCTTTTTTAAATTAAAATTTACTTAACTAATTTATATGTCATTATATATCTTTTGTTAAGACAATCTAAATGTTCTTCTCTTTTAATAATATTTTACCCAACTGTTTACCCTAATTATAGACAATTTAAATGTTCTCTCTTAAAAAAATACTATTTTCCATCTGCCAAAGCAAGGAACCCATTGTCGCCAGGAGAATACATCCTATACAGCAGTGGTAACCAACTTTATTGGCATCAGGGACTGGTTTTGTGGAAGATAATTTTTCCAAAGACTAGGCGGTGGATGGGGATGGTTTTGGGATGAAGCTGTTCCACTTCTGATCATCAACCATCAGAGTCTCATATGGAGTGTGCAACCTAGGTGCCTCACATGAGCAGTTCACAGCAGGGTTTGCATCTTATGAGAATCTAATGCTGCCTCTGATCTGACAGAAGGCAGAGCTCAGGTAGTAATGAGAGTTATAGGAAGCTGCTGTAAATATAGATGAAGCTTCACTTCCTTGTCCACCACTCACCTCCTGCTGTGTGGCCCTGTTCCTAACAGGTCACGGACTGATACTGATCCACAGCTCGGGGGTTGGGGTCCCCTGCTATACAGGTCTTAAGAGTATTTGAATGTCATAAAAAGAGAGATATATATCTTTTATAGCGTCAGAACGTACATGAAGTGTGGGTGGGAAGGGTTCTAGGAGTTGGGAAGGATATATTTTAAGACCTCTGTATATCTTCAAATTGTGTGTATCAGTGACATATATAATTTTCCCCATAAAATGTTGAGAACAGTTAGGCTTGCTTGAGATGTGGCTATTAAATCATGGTCGGTTAGGCTCATTTACTAGAAAAGCATACTGGCCTCACCATGGATGGAGTTTGAGTTTAAAACTCAATAACATTACAGATTTTTTTGGTTGTTTGAGAATAGTTGAAACTGATATTAAATCAATGAATGCCAGAAGTTCTGTTTTTTTATAATGATCAGATTATACCCATAGTACTGGTTAATTTTTGACATCATACTTGGAGTTGACAAATGAATACATGAACATATCTGAAACTTCGAAGATGATATTTAGGCCAGGTGCAGTGGCTCACATCTGTAATCCCTACACTTTGGGAGGCTGAGGTGGGCGGGCTGCCTGAGCCCAGGAGTTCAGGACCAGCCTGGGCAACATTGCATAAAACTCCATCTCTACAAAAATTACAAAAAGTTAGCAGGGCAAGGTGCCATGCATCTGTAGTCCCAACTACCTGGGAGGCTGAGGTAGGAGGATCGCCTGAACCTGGGCGGTTGCAGCTGCATGAGCCGTGCAGTGCAGTACCCTTTCTCAAAAAAAAAAAAAAAAAAAAAAAAAAGAAAGAAAGAAAGAAAGAAAAAATATATATATTTGCAAGCTACGCCACTGGAAGGAGGAATTACTGAAATGATTAGCCAATGTTTGGCCTAATGAAGACTTGATGATATGGATAACAGTTTTCTAATAATTAGAGTATTACCAAGATTTCTTAATTTCTACTAACCAATCTAGTAGATATAAAATATTATTTCACAATGACATTATTTGTATTTCTCTAATTTCTAATAAGGTTATCTTTTCAAGTATGTATTCACTGTTTGTGTTTCTTCTAAAAAATTCCTGCTCACAATTTTTGCAAAGCTAATCGTGTCATTTTCTCCTTTTGGTTGTTTCCTAATATGTGCAAGATAAAAGACAAGTCCTAAGCATGGATTTTTCACACTTTTTATTGTCTTTACCCTTGTCTACCTTTCTAGCCTCACTTCCCAGTGTTGCCTGCCTCTCTCTAAATTCTCTAAAAATTAAAAATTGCTATTTCATTGCTTCTATGCATCTGCTCATGGTTTTTCTTCTGTGGAATTTCCTTCTCATTCTTGCTGATAATGGGTAATATTTTATTCATTCTTTAGGGTTTAACTCTTCACATTTCCAGAAAGCCTTCTCTAACTCTTCTTAGGCTGACTTAAGACCTGCTCCCCCAAATTTCTGTAGCATTCTCTGTATAACTCTATCACTGCAAAGACTTTGGGCTTCTCAAGGGCAGGGACTCTTTTTATCATTTAATCTTTAGCACCTGGCAGGACGTCTGACCTATAGCGACACTCAAATATAATTTAATCTCCACTAATGTGTGTTATAGGGTAAGATTTAAGAGACATTATCTAACAAGAAACTAGATAAGGATTGGAAACTCAGGAGAAAATCTGGGCTAAAGATTCCAGTAATAGCTGAAGTCAGGAAAGGGGCAAATATTTGCTAAGTGTTTACTTTGTAATGGGCAGAGTGCTAGGCATCTGTGCATATATTCACAATTTTACAATGTAGCCATTATATTTTATAAATGCAGAAGCAGGCTCCGGAAGGTTAAACAACCGGTTCCACTTTCACAAAGCTACTAAACATTACAACTGGGATTTGAACCAAGATCCTTCCATTACACAACACTGAATGGACTCACCCAGGAATGTGTGTGAGAGAGAAAAGAAGAAAGAAGAGGGAGAGAAAAGACAAGGAGATGAGGACAGAAGACATCTTGGAGATGGGTTTAGGAATAAGTCAAAAAGGGACAGAGAGATGGGAGAAACACTGTTAGGGACTGGTGTGTTGGGAGATAGTAAAAGATTTCAAGAAGAAATGATAACCATTTCAAATGCTTGAGAAAGATCAAGCAATTTAAGGACTGAAAAAAGTCTTTTGAGTTCCAACAAGATCATTTAGTAACCTTGGAAACAGTAGTAATTAGCAAAGTAGTGGAGAGAAGCCAGTGTACAACAGGTTGAGGAATGACTAGGAGGCAGGGATGTGGCAATGATGAACAGACTACACTTTCAGAAATCAGTTGTAAAGGTAAGGCAGGCAATATGTAAAAACCAGGTTTAGAAGTTGCTTTGGTTTTTAGAAAAGCTTTAAAGGTGTCATAGACATGAGCATATTTAAATACTGAAGAGGAAAACTCAGTTGAAAGGGAAAATTCAAGATACCTGCGAGGGGATGACTTCAGGAAGCAATATTTTTGAGGAGGTGGAAGACGAGATGCAAATAACTATGGACAAAGGGCTATTCCAACTGAGATGTCAATGCATATGTCTGTAGCTGAAATGAGACAGAGCTAGAAATTTGAATTTTTATCTGTGAAGTGGGAATAAATGAGGTCTGAGATTTCAAATATGAGCAACAAAACTCATAGACTTTGATCCCAAACAGTTCCTCCCTACTCATTTTTTTTCTGTCAAATGGATCAATTAACATTCCCCTATGCACCCTAGCCTCAAACCTAAGTGTCATCTATGATTTTTCCCTTTTCTTCCTTCGTAATATCTAATGAAGTTTAAAATAGTAAGACGACAAAGGAGTCTGAGGATAGTTATAGATGTTACCTCTCTAAAAGTTTTTGAGGTTATTCAGGTTGTGACACTACACATCACCATTAGCAGCTGCTGTGAGGCAAGGCTCTTGGTTAGAACGGGTCAGTGGCAGAACTTTACCAAGTCAACACCTATCGGGCTTCATGCTCCCAGTCCAATACGCTACCTGGTACGTGGCAGGCACACAGCGGGAACCCACGAATGAATGCTGGTGTTGGTGTCCCCCTGAGGAGAGTCACAGATTCACTGAATCGATTTGGACTTGGTAGAACCTTGGGGTCACTCGAACCCCCTTTTTACAGAGGAGGAATCTGACGCCCAAAAAGATGAGGTAACCTGCCCAAAGTCCAGAAGCAAGTTAGCGCTAGAACTACAAAGGAGCAAACACGGTACCAGGGAAATGGATCTAAGGAGCTGCAGGAACTGAACACCTGGATGTACACTGCCATTTGATTCTCCCCTTATAATGGGATGTTTCCTTCTGTTCTCATCACACCCCAGCGCGGGTCCTGAGCACTCCGCGAGTCATTATCCCGACAGCCTCCCAATCTACAAAACATTCCAAAGCCAGATCAATAGTCACCAAACATTGTTTTAACTCACTCCTTCCCCGTTAAAAGCCTTCAAAAAACTAACTCCTACCTATAGGACAAAGTCCAAATGACTAACTGTTTTTTTTTTTGAGACGGAGTCTCACTCTGTCGCCCAGGCTGGAGTGCAGTGGTGCGATTTTGGCTCACTGCAACCTGCGCCTCCCGAGTTCAAGTAATTCTTTGCCTCGGCCTCCCGAGTAACTGGGATAACAGGCGCCCGCCAGCACGCCTGTATAATTTTTATATTTTTAGTAGACACGGGGTTTCACCATCTTGGCCAGGCTGGTTTTGAACTCCTGACCTCGTGATCCACGCGCCTCGGCCTCTCAAAGTGCTGGGATTAGAGACGTGAGCCACCACACCTGGCCTCAAATGACTAACATTCTTAACACCGTGCTCCTGTCCTGCCTAGTTTCAACCGTCTCTCCCTATGGAGAAATGCTGCACCCGGCCAGGCTCCTCTACCCATCACCCTCCAAGTTCCTTAGGGCTTTTCGGGGGGGCAGCGGGGCTGGTACTGGGTCCCACGCAGAGAGGATTTTGTGCCAGGCTGCGCACACGGTGCAGCAGGTGCCGGGTCCGCCTCCTCAGCCCCCAGCCCGGCCCCGGACACACCAGCTATCACCCTGGCCCTGGTCAAATGAACCAACAGACACGTGGTCGTCCTGCAAACCAGAACCCGAGCGAGGAGGCACTCGGAGACTACCTTCCAGACAGCCGCTCAAAACCCCACCAGCAGTCCCCGCGCCGACTCAGGCGGGCTTCCAGATGAAGTCCTCAGGGCGGCGCCACAGCCAAACAGAATTCCACCCCTTCCTCAGGCTGCAGCCAATGGCGCGGCCCCTCAGGCTCCGGAGCCGCCGAGGGCTCTGATTGGCCGATAGAATTAGCCTGGAGGCGGGAAAAGAGCGACCGCTGGGAGGCGGGTGGAGCCGGGAGGTCGCCCCCGGGCGGCGAAGCGGCTGCCACGCAGCCGAGAGTGAAATGAATAAACAAGCAAAATCCACCAGCCCCAGGCCTCCATCTCTTCCCCGCCCACCTTTCCCCCGCGTGGGGTAGGCCGCTTCCCAATCGCCACGCTTTCTCCGCCTCCGTCAACGTCTGGGTACGTCCCTCTCGCGGCGGGGGCCACGCACGTCCCGGCACTTAACCTCTGCCCGCCCGGCGCGAAGTTAGAGGTCCGGGCAGCGCGGGCTGCGCGCACTCCCGGTGGTGGGGAGCGGAGGGAAGGAGCTCGAGCCCGGGGCCGCGGCTCGGCCCATGATGACTTGCTATCGAGGCTTCCTGCTGGGCAGCTGTCGTCGCGTGGCGGGCGGCCGGGCGGCGGCGCTGCGGCGACCGAGCGCGGGAGGCCCCGCCGCGCGGCCCCGGCTGGGCGGTGACGGCAGCGGCCGGCGGCACCTGGGGCAGGGGCAGCCGCGCGAGCTGGCGGGCTGTGGCAGCCGCCCCGACGGCGGCTTCCGCCCCTCCCGGGTGGTGGTCGTGGCCAAAACCACTCGGTACGAGTTCGAGCAGCAGCGGTACCGTTACGCGGAGCTCTCGGAGGAGGACCTAAAGCAGCTGGTGGGTCCTAGCGCGGCCCTGCTTCGCTCCCGGGCTCGGCCGGGGCTCTAGGGGCGGCTGCGCCCCCGCGGGCGAGACCTCTCGGGACGGCTCTTCCCAGGGCACCGCAGATGCCGGTCCTGCCTTTCTCGCGGCCCCCAGGCCCTCTGGCTTCGCCCTGGGCTCCCTTAGCCTCTGGGCGTGCGTGCGAAGGAGATTCAGGTCCGGGAAGAGGGAGAGGGGCTGTGTTCCTGCAGGGACCTCCGAGGCAGGGGCGCCGCGGGGAGGGCGAAGAGGGGCTGCCTAGTGCCCCATAGAGTGAAGGGTTTGGGAATTCAACAGTGCCCTCGTCAACCCCGCCCTCGTTCCCTGGTTGGGACTCACCCCAAGAAAGTGAGCGGGTGGCCTGAGGTTTGGACGCCCTGAGAGCAGCTCCCCAGGCCGCCACGAGAAAGGGGGCCCGGGGCGTCGCTGAGGGCTGTAGGGACAAAAGGGGCGAAATACTGAGGACACACCCCCTTTTACTCTGCAGGACTGCGAGGCCTTTAGAGAGGATCCGAAAAGCCCTTTAGCCTTGAGCTTTTTCCATACCGGAACGTGATCGTCGGTAGACACTGCCAGCTTGTTTTAAAAGCCTGAAGTCTTGGGTGCTAAGAAGGGCAAGGGAGAAAATTTGACTTGTATATAGACGTTATGTAGGAGACATGTTAGGACAAGGGGCTGGTATACTGGGTAATGTATGAAATAAAAAGCCTGGGACTCCAGTGCAGCAATATCTCCACAATAGACCATATTTGATATATTGATTGATATATCTACAAAATATATAAATCCAAGAGAAAAACCCCTGAGTTTGAATCTTCCTGTTGTCACCGCCCCCCACTTTAAAAACAATTTGGGATCCCATACCCCCACCCACCAACTTTAGGAGGAGAGTGACCGGTGCTACCATGAGCAATATGTACAGAAAAATCTATTGGAAATCTCTTAATTGTTGGCATTGTGCACCAAAAGGTTTTGGAATTAGTTGCACATAACTAGTTTAATTCTGTGCAAGACTAGACAACCTGTTGAAAACCTCTGGTATCATGTGATCCTCAGCGAAGTTATTTTGTAGAGGCATCAAAATGAAATTGTAAATCATCTTTGCTTAAGTACTGAATCTGTTGTCAACATTAAACATCCTGCTTCTTTGTTGGGTTTATTGAAGAGGGTCCTTGCATTCACCTAATGGGAGTCTAGATTTCTAAATTTGTTTTATTTTTCCTAAGCATTTGAAAATGGCAGTTTATAGAATACTCTCGCATTATTTAAAGAAGAAAGAGTTTGAACGGGAGGTTAGAGTAGTTGAGTTTGTGTTGGGGAGTGAAGTTGGAGGTGAGGAAGGGAATGGTAATGTCCTAAGAAAGTACAACGTTACTATTTGGGAAAAGCGGTGTGCCCTTTGGGTTGTACTAATTTTGCAAGGTCTAGCTTTTATAATCTGTCAAATGCCATGTATGCATAAATATGTATGCATAAATAAGCTTCCTACAACAATTAAAAATAGCTCACTTGGCATGTTTAGAATGTAGCATTAAGGTTGAAGAGCTCAGTTCTGGGCCCTGGTTCCTTGTGGTTAACTTCCGATGTGTGTTTAACTTCTCTGGGCCTCATAGGTGGAAATGATACTTTTTGTATAGTATTGCCAGTTTTCCAAGTGCTTTACCTAATTCAATATGTGAATTGCTGGGGCTGTACTAGATAGCCTCCAAGGTCCTTTATATTGCTGGCATTTTGAAACTGGGTAACGTTTTCAAGTCCTCAAGAAAATGGGTGGCATCTCAGGATTAACTCTTGGACCTCTGAACTAGATTGCCACTAATAAAAAACTTTTAAAATGTAGGGAAAATCATTAAGTCTTAAAAAGTCAAACTACCTAAGTGTACCCATTCTGAGTGGAGAAATCTCTGATAGGTAAATATTTGTCTATTGCTAGGTAATGCTGTTTGGGATGCGCTGGCTTTGAAGTAAAACTCCTGAACTGTAGAATACCCAGTTTTGTAATTGCCAGACAGTGGAATAGTTTTTATTGATGTTGTCATTACAGTTTTATTGGGTAAGTTCCTTACTGATTTAAATTTGTGTTATAATTTATATCAAGGTCAGTACTCAGAATGCAATAGCATTAGATGTAGCCCAGATGACAGATTAGTAACAGGCCAGAGAATACTGGGCTGTGTGAAGTTGTCCTAAAATGGGATTCTGTAATAGGAGTGATAAGATGATAACTACTGTTTGTTATATTGTGGGGGTAAAAAATATTAAGTTATATGAATCATGTGAATCGGATATAAAAGAAAATGGCCAAGTGCTTTTTTGAGTCTCACCATGGCTGCCGTGTCTATAGTGTCATGGTAACTTGGTTTTTTGTCAGAGCATTCTCTTTTGTTGTGGTGGTGATGGTTTTTTGATGCAAAACAGGTCTGCATTAGGCTATTTGTTAAAATGCAAATGACAAAGGATGGAGTGCCAGTATAATTTTACACTCTGAAGGCTGATGATTTTCTAACTTTGTAGAAATGTAAACAGTTGCAGGAAATGTCTTTTAGTTGATAAGGCACACACAGAATAAGTTTACAACCTTCAAACTGGTTCAGAGTTTTGACTTTCATTTACCCTTTCATATTGGTTACATTGCTTTATTTTAAAATCTTGTCTTTTTCCCCATTGATTGACCAATGGCTTGTTTTGTGATATCAGATTTCTAGTCAAACATTTTACCTCTACTGCCTCATGATCTTTCAAAGGCTAGTAAAACTAACATTACAATTTACTTGCATCATTAAGAGATGTAGCTGTTGGCAGATGTGGAACTGCTGTTATCAGGGTCCTTGACACAAATTAGAACTCTAGATAGAACAAAACCTACTTGGAAAGGATTTTGACACCAAAAACATACCTCATTGGTCAAAGAAAGATTCTATTTAAAACTCTTTTTCACCTATCACCAGGGATGGGGAACTGAATAAGGGGGAACCAAGAAAAAAGTATTTTAATACAGACCAAATAAGAAGTCAGCAATTTCTACCCTCTTCTCCATTCCAGGTCTCACAACTTGGCAACACTTTTTAATGGTTCCTATTTTTAGTTTTGTTTTTTAAAATTCATAATGGGATAGAATAATTTCATTTAACAGTCTGCTGTGTTATTGGATTAAACTAGATGACTTGGAAGGTATAATGCCTTGGATTTTGTTTCCCTTTGTTTTCTGAAGAAGATTTTGTGGCTTAGATTGTAGCTCTTGGGCAGATAATACTTTTGCCACATGTTATGCAATAAGTGTACCATGGTGTACTTTTGTCAGGGAGTATACTTTTGCTATATTGTATACAATAAGTATATACAATGTGATTGTTAATCAAATTGAAGAGCATGATTTGGAGTACTGCCAGAGCCTTCTAACTGAATCTTGTTCCTCACAAATCTTCTATACACAGTCACCAGAGTGTCTATGTAAAGTGAACATCTGGCCCTTTCCCTTTTCTGCTTAGAACTCCACAGAAGCTCCCTCTAACCTGTAGTCACCTAGAGTACTTGTTAAAATGCGGACATCTGAACCTTAACCCCCAAGACTCTGATTCAGTTTGTGGAGAATTCCCAGACTTTGGTTTTTTGAAGCACACACCTGACATTAATGACTCTGGTTGAATTCCAGGGATGTGTGTGTGTGTGTTTTATTCCTGGTTTGCATGTGGTCCCTAGTTACACTGGCGTCAAGTTTATGATCTTTAGAATGGGAGATAAGTCCCTTCATGAACTGGCCACCTCTTGAGCTTCATTTCTGATCGCTTCTTGTCTTGAATTTCATATTCTGGCAATTTCAAACTGCTTTAATTTCTATTAGATGTTGTGTTGATTTAGTTTAATTTATGGATCAATAGCACAGAAAATGATTCAAAATGTAAAAGATATAAAATATTATACAATGAAAAGTCTTTCTGTTGTCACCTGTCATTCAGTTTTGTTCCTGGAAGTAACTGCTATCAGTTTCTTGTGTTTTCTTCCAGAAGCAACCTATACCTAAATCAACACGGTGAAATATTCTTTTTCTTTGCCTCATCTCTTTTTATTCAATGATAATACACTATTTAAGCTATTATGTGCCTTTATTTTAGCCTAACAGTATTTGTGGAGATTGTCATAAAGAGCATTTTCACTCCTTTTTTGTGTGTCCTAATTTATCTTCTGCTGTTATACACACTCCAAAATGAATAACATTTGTGTTCATATACATGTAAATCAAGCTCTAAGACAAATACCTAAAGTTGAAATTGCTGAGTCAAAAGTCACGTGCATATAAAATTTTAATAGGTATGGTCAAATTGCTTCCCTTAGAGATTGTACAGATTTTTACTTTCACCAGC